CTACTACTACTACTACTACTACTACTACTACTACTACTACTACTACTTACTACTACTATGACTAGGACTACGACTACGACGACGACGACGACGACGACTACTACCACTACTAGTAGCTACTACTACCACCAACACCAGCACCACCACTACTACCTACTACCTACTACTGACTTTCTGATGAAATCCAAAAAAACGTCTAGGGTTCAATGCCTATAAACTTCGTTTAAAAAAACAATCGTTTGAGTAGATCAATAAGGGTGCCCCTCACAAGGGCCGGTCCCCTTCAATAATCTGCACTACTACCCCCTATTAGCTTGATCCTGTGTCCATGCGTCGCTGCGTCCCTTTTGTTGGCTTGTTTTTGCTTATTGAACTTACTACGACTACCACTACCCCTACCACTGCTGCTGCTGCTGCTGCTGCTGCTGCTACTACTACTACTACTATGATGACTGAGACTGAGACTGAGACTGAGACTGCCACTACTACTGCTACTTCCACTACTACCACTACTACCACTACCACTACCACTACCACCACTCGCTTCTTAGCCGATTAGCAAATTATTCAGGGGAGGTGGACCTCATGAGTGGTATCTCATATCTTCTTGACCTTGTTGACCTACCATGTGGGGGGGCGGTTGATTAGTCAGGTCTTTGCATTATAGAAATAACATTGTGTAGTACTTTTTAATAATGAACATTGTGTAGTACTTTTTAATAATGAAAATAGGGTATTGTATGGCTTCCAGTCTGAAGCCATGGCTTCCAAATTCAAAGTTTTGGAAGGGCTTGTAAACATTTTGATTTGAACACAGTTCATTGTACCCTTCTGATTATTTCCTTCTGAGAGTCGTTTATCTGTTTGTTCACCATCTTTTACATTGGAGCCAAGACACAGCTAACGTGTCATTCTTCCCCCATACTTCCCCCTGCATCCCCCTGCCCAACTTGTTCTACAAAGTGCAAGTCTTTCTATATTTACAAGATGCAAACCGGCGAGTTGAAAACCATCTTCAATGGGAATGACCACATTTGTCTACAGAATCATACAGAATCACACACCTGCAATTCAGCATATTCTGGGCGCAAAAACGCCCCCTCTACGAAATGCCAAACCTGGAAATGCAGGACACGTTTTTCTGTTTAGAAAAATGCCTGGCTGCAGTGAAAACATGCAGGGAAAAATAGACATGATTTTACATACATATATTTGTCAAAGGCATAGATTTATGCACACACCAAACAAAGGGCCTCACAGTTACACTGGCTAAACTCACGCGCCAACTCGATCTACTGAACGCACATGAATTTGCGTCCCCGAGGAGTCTGTTCGAAGACCGGACACGGCGGCCTGACACTGCGAGAAGAGTGGCAAAATGGTGGTGCCAGCATGGCCTCCTTGGCATGTCCACCATTCAATTTCAACAAAGAGAATGCCCAAGACAATCTACCAAAAAGCGCATGTTTGGGATTGCTTGAAAACTCTCAGAAGAGTCCGACTTGCCCAAGACGCCCAGGCGCCCTGGCCTTCTAATGCCTTCACCCAAATGTTGGCAGAAAAAGGTGAGCCCAGCAACCATGGGGGGCGCCAACCATCGAGCCTTGCTTCCCTTCGCTTCCCTTCGCTCCGACCCCGTCTTTCGGAGCTCCGTCTCCCCGGTCGTCGGACGACCGCCGAGGAGCCGATCACGGGCACCGAGACGTCGCTCATGGGCGCCCCCGTCATCTCGTGGACGAACTTGTCGGCGCGGACCACATCGAGCGTGGTGATCTGAGCGCGGTTCGCCCAACGCGGCCAACGCGAGGCCAATGCCCGGGACGCGAAGCATGGATGGTGAACAATGGTTGGCCTGGTCTGAAGTCTGAAGAAGGCACAGTCGGCTCCATCTTGAAACAAGTCGAGGAGTGGTGAACAATGGTGGAAAACCTATTTATAGATGGAATCAAATGGATCTAGCGATACCCGTTTTGTGGTGGCCCTGATCGTCTGACAGGGCTTGGTGCACAGACCAAGCCAACCTACCCCTCTTCATGCAAAAAGTTGTCAAACCGCAAGTTTGGGATCCCAGCTCATGTGATGTCCAAACACCAGTAACTGGAACTTTGGATATAGCCTGGTATGACACTGAACGCTTCTGTTCTAAACAAGTGAACACTTCTTGTACCAATACAGTTTTAGACCCAAACGATTCCTTTTCGCCACAAATACTCGATCTTGGGGACGGCACTCCGACAATCTTGGCAGGATTCAAGCCTCGGCGGTGGTAGAAACGCAGAGATTTCGGTCGTGTCGCGTGTCGTGTCGCGTGTTCGAAGTCGTATTGTGTCGTCCTTTGTTCGAAGCCTACGTGTCCTTTTGTTGTTTGTTCACCTGCAACGAGAAACAAAAGCTGAACTCTGAGAAGTCTCACCCTTCTTCTTCCACATCTCGCACATGGCAGGCACCACAGAATTCACTGGATTGACGATGAGCCCAACCACAGCCTCGAGAGCTTGTATCAAAGTGAGATCCGGAACAAAAACGAGTCCTGACTTTAGAGAACCCTCCTTCCTTCAGTCTATGTCTCAGTCATTCTCAGTCTCTTCAGCCTCTGGGCAAAACTTGGCGCAGGCTTCTACAATGTTCTTGGCCTCGTTTCGCATCCGAACATGGTCGAACTGCGGCGGGCTCACCCTTTAAGGCACCAACGATACCAGCATTGATGTTGAGAAGGTCCTTTCTGTCCTACAGCGCAGAGTGGCCGCCCCCGGCGGGCGTCACATGGTGTAACCGCGGCGCACAGGGTCTGTGCGGGCAAGCAGAACTTGTTGGAACAGCCCCCCTGAGAGAATGGAGCAGAAACTCGTCAGGGGGCAATCATGAAGGAAAATGGTCTGCCAGGGGCCTCCAACGTAGATTCTTGCTTGATAAACCCCTCCATTGAGATTGCAAAACCTATTCCTATGCAGGGGTTCTGAAAAAATGCCACGGTTAAAACAACATGGCACCCGGCAAGACTGAGCTGCTTCTCGACTTGCGAGGGCCAGGCTCGCTTGCGATTCGACGCCAAATTACACGAGATGAGTATACAACGGAGATCCCGTCCAATCACTCCGAATACAAGCTGCGAGTGGTAGGAGCATACAAACATTTAGGAACATGGCTCCAGACTAATGGAGGATTTGCTAGGGACGTAGCAATGAAATTTGCTATTGCGCATGATGTGATGACACGTTTTCGTAGCCAGATCTTTTGCAATCGTGGATTAGATCTGCAGCATAAACGGCAGTTCCTGCATTCTATGGTCCTCAGTGTGGTTATCTTTAATGCTGCTGTGTGGGAACCACACACTGCACGTCAAAAGAGCCAGATTGACAGAGCCTTCTTTTGTTTGTTTCGCCGTTTTGCAGTGAATCATTTTGGGAAGAGAGCCTTACACTGGAATGCGACACAGCTGTACAGCCAAGCTGGTCTCCCTAGCCCTACGGCAGTGTTGACGATCGCACGGCTGAGATATCTGGGTTAGCTTCTTCGGACTGCCCAAGAGCACACCTGGGCTCTCCTCCAGATGAATCCTGATTGGATCAAAACTCTTGCTAAAGATGTCGGTTGGTTCCACGACCATTGCCCGGAAAGAGGACTTCTAGACTCCTTTAAGGACGACTGGGAAACTTTTGCTGGTGTGATCAGGGAAAAGCCTGGTCGATGGAAATCGTGGTTGAAGACGGCTTTGCAGCGCCACATGTCTTCTATCCAACTGGAACATGAATGGTTTTCATGGCATGCTGACATTCGAAAGACGCTGCTTGACCATGGGTATCAGCCAAAGAAGATGGTTGCTCCGGCGCAACTGAGCCACTATTGTCTCCAATGTTGCCGGATTTTCCGTAGACGCTCCGATTTGGCCGTCCACAGCTTTAAGAAGCATGATAGAGTTCGAGCTGTGAGGCATTTCGTCATTGGAGTTCAATGTGAAAGCTGCCTGAAAACATTTGACCAACATACCGATCTATTGAATCATGCTTCAAGAGGGTCATGCTATGCCTTCTATGCACAGAGGGGGATTTTTGTCGACAGACAGCCAGGCGTCAATAGCCGACAAGCTAGACAGCCTCTGCGAGACCCCTTTGTACAGGGAGAAGGTCCAGCCTGCCCACCGCTTGATACGGTGACTCTTTCTGGGCCCCTTTCGATGGAGACCCAGAATCTCAGGCAGAGGTGGACAGAAGCGTGGTGCTCTGATCCACTGGAAGACAAGCTTGAATTGCTGCGACAAGCCACTCTCGGAACGTACCTCTACCATGAGGAAATTCTTGACACCTTTGATAAATGGTGGCAAGAGCTTCTCCTGACTGAAACTGTATACCTCCAACATCTGGGCGTGCATGATGCATTTGTGAGCTTTGCCGATGGGGAGTGGTTCCTTCAGGATACGAGTAGTTGTCAACGTCCCGAGATGCGAGAGTCTTGTTTTGACTTTTTTGAGCTTGAATCACAGAGTCTAGATGCGATTTCTCTAGATGTGCCACGTCCGGTGCAATACAAAGCCTGTGTGATTGCCCACCTGTTCTCAGGCGCAAGACGCCCTGGAGACTTCCAGTCACATATTGAGGCGATTGGAGGAACTGCGATTTCCATAGACATAGTGTTTGACCTGAAATGGGGTGACCTGTTGAATCATGATACATTTATGCTGTTCGACCGAGCCCTCAGAGAGGGGGTCCTTCGAGGCTATCTTGCGGGCGCTCAGACCTGGTCGCGTGCTCGAGCTGTACGCTCTGCGGACTACAATGTTCGTCCAGTCCGAGACAGACGAAGGCCATATGGCCTTCTTTGTTTGAATAAAAAAGAGGCTTCACAAGTTTTGGTTGGCACCAAACTGTTGGGAGTCAGCATGCGATTGTTCTGCACGGCCCTGCTGTATAGAGCGACTGCTGTTATTGAACACCCGGCAGAACCGACAGATTTACCCGAAGCAGCGGCTATCTGGCGCACAGCGCTCGTCCAATTTGACCAGCGTTTTCGAGATTGTGATAAGCTTTTCCTGTTCCAAGGGCATTTCGGCGGGCATTCGGCCAAACCCACCGAGTTCTTGGTTGCCCATGGAGAGTGTTTGAAAGATCACCTGATAAGTGGACGAACATCTCGATTACCTCGTGGTGGATGCATTGGACGTACTGAGCAAGGAGAGTGGGCTACATCCAAGCTCAAAGAGTATCCCTCAGTGCTCTGCTCGAGCCTGTTTACAGTCTCAACCGGAGCATGAGGTTGGTGAGGTTCTTCCTCAGTGGTTTGTTGGGGCCATTGAACATCTGCAGTCTCACTTTGACGAGACTGCAGTGCGTGGCCCCGACTACCGACCAACAGAACATGCTCATGTCCGATCTAATTAGTAATTCGTGCTGCAATGTCGGCCACGAGCGAGACGCTTTCGGCATCATAGAAAGAAAAGAAAAGTCCTGCCCAGGCTTTCGAGGTACACCCGCAGGCACCAGCACCAAATGACAGCCAGTCAAACAATCGCCAGCCTCGCCAAGAGAAGTGCTGGAGCCGGTGGACAGCGACCGCCTTTTGACGGACCACCGCTGCTTCTTTGGACGGAGCGGCCTTGTCAATTGCCTTGTCATCCTTGTCAAACGCATAGCCCTTGACCTTCAGACGGGCCGTGGTACTATTGTAGCTCCTCCTATAGGAGCTCTAAACACAAACATCCAACTTCGTACATCATGTTGTAAACAGTTGTATTTCTAGACCCTACTACACGTCCTCATAAGACCTGCAGAAACTCAAGCGTCCTCTGCGAAAGACAAGACACCTTGCACTTCATGTTCAAGTGTGACAGGTCGGCAGCAACACCTTCTGCTGGCACCATCGCCATGGTTAAATCCTGAGCCAAAAAAGGGCACAGCAAAGAATCGCCAGCCTCAAAAGGAGAAAAGAACGGGTTTTCGAAAGCCCCATCTCTTCATGTCGATTCGTCATTGGGATTGGACCCCCCCTCCACGCAAGCGCTTGGCTACTCAGACTCCTCACGGAAAACACCTCTCTCAGGCTGCATCATACACGCAGAGCTCGGAGACGTTGGGGTCCATGGCCATGAGCATGCTCAGCGGCTGGCCAATGCCGCCTGCACCGCCAACCACACAGACCTGCAAGAGAGAGAAGGAGAATTGGTAGGAATTTCAATTGGAATGTTGAATTTGTAACATAAACAGGAGAGGTGAAGCAGGTCTGTCAAGTCAAGTACCTTGAAGTTTCCTGCCATGGCTGTACAAAATTGGCGCACAAATCGGCTAGCAAAACGGCTGCTGACGAGCAAATCCAACAAACATGACTGTGAGTCAAGTCCGGGACTGTCGTTGGGGCCCCGGGGACTAACGAGCAGAATGGGGCCCTTGGGAGTCTTTTTTGCTTCCTGCGCGAGCATCTCCACGGGCTCTGGATTTGAGCCCCTACTTGATTGGGGAGACACCGCAACCCGCTTTAAAACATGCAGGACTGTGGAGGGTCTTGAACTGCACAGCCTTTGAAATCTCTACAATAGATGAAATCCAAAAGCCCGAGCGGTTTACAGGGTATCCATTCACAGGCAAAGCTGCACAGATTTCACTGAGCAAGCATTCCTTAAAAGTTACCGCAAGCGTTGCTTCATGGGCGCATCAGGTTCCATCAGGGCAGTTTGTATGATCCCTCCTGGAAGACCCAGATTTCCATGGCTACAAGAGCGTCACAGCTTGCACTGTCCACATGGCTAAGACAATGCGAAGCACCCAGAAAACCGAGTCCTTGAGTCCAGTCACATGACCCCTAGGCACGAGCGCGAGGGCACGAAGCGGGTCGCGTGGTTCGGAAGGCACGTTTCGCACGTTCGGCGGGAGCACGAAGCGGGTCCAAGCAAGGCGCACAACGGCAAGTGCAACGTCGAGGGATAGGTATCTTCCTGGGCAAATTCGTGGATACACCTTCTCCTCAGTGCATTTCAAAGGCGGGCTTCTGCAGCCACAGAGGTTTCTTGAAGAAACTGATCTATATATCTTGTGTCGATAGCACCAAAAACTCATCGTATGCTGAAGAACCTGATCTCGTTCCAAAAACCCAAGCGACCAACAACTGCTTTGTGCCCCTCACTTTGGGGTCATCACAGTCACCACCGATGGAGAAAAGCACTCTGCGTGAAAACCTCCCGTTCGGTCTTCGGAAAATGAGTCTTCCTTCTATCCACGGGCCATGGCTAGATGTCCACCAAGTGCTACTTGATGGCTCGATTCCAAACAGTGCCATGGCTAGATGTCCCTCAATTCCATGATGTCAACCTTCCGGTGGCTTTGCTGACAGGTCCCCCCATCTTCACCGAAAGTGTCCAGTTCCGGCCGTACCGAGGCGCTTCGTCAGGGGTTCCGAAGGCTCCGTTCCAGGTGAGCGCCTGGCTGAGCTCCTGGCACGGTTCTGGGCGGCGTGGGACGGGTTCTGGGTTTGGCATCAAACCGAAAAAACGGGTCCAACAATTAGCAAAAAATAATGTAAATTAATCGTAAAACATCGTACATCTGCTTCTCAGGTAGGCTTCAGCAGGGTTTCATTATCTTTCATCCACTTAAGAGCCCAAACGCCGTGCGGACGCGCGCGGCGTCGTCGATCTGTCTGTGCCGTACTCTGAGACCTGCTCCGTTCTCCTTGCGGCTTGGATCGAAGACATCCGGATTGGGGAAGATGCTGGGGTCACGGTTGGCCATGGAGAGCACATACTGATTCAAGGTATTCTCCGACATGGTGTAGTCCCTTCCTCGCAATTTGATCACCTCAGTTGGTTGGTTTAATAAGTCATATCGCCTGCCTGCAAAACAACTGCTAAGACGTCATCGTTTTTGCTGAAGCAAGTTCAGTCACCCTTTCCTCTTTGGAGACGTTGGTCGCACTGGTCACAGGAGGATCTATACGGCAGGACTCCTGGCAGAAATACAAAGATGTTCGCAAGCAGGAAAGAGCCAATGAACTTACGAAAGAATTCTCGTCCGGTCCTTGATGTATGCAATCGGGTTGCTGTTGAAGGCTTCCACCATGGATTCATTTGTTGGGAACCTTGCTGCGACATATGTGTCAACATCTGGCTTTTTGCTCTGGTGCTGGTTTGTCTGACCAGTGACGTATACCATGCGTCTAGATTCTCGCTGCTTACTTCCCATGTACCTGTTTCATGCTTGTTCTTGCCCCTGATCCCCCTGGCTCGAAACACCACCCACTCCAAACCCTGCTCCGCCCGATTCACCCTGCGCGACGCTGCCCACAGCAAGGGCAAGCCGACGCCACGAACGGAACGGAAAGGGGAGCCAGGCACCCGAAGGGTGGCATGCGCCACTGGACTGGACCACAAGTGCTGCCAAGAGATTTGGACGAGAGAAGTGCAAGACATGCAAGTACCCTATGCCACGCAAGCGACGCAAGTCAGACATGCAAGTGCATGTCTTAAATCCAGTGTCTTCTGCACAACGCTTCTGCAAGTACATCCATGGCCATGCATGCACAGACGTCTGCAAACGTGCATAAATATGCATAAATGAGTGACGCTGGTCCACATGAAACTGATATTTCTTTGGTCCTGCTCAATTGCGATCCGCCACAACTGCATTTTCAGGACATATTGAGTAAGACAGGAAGCTTCTCAAAGTTGATGAGGTGGGCACTGGCTTCTTCAGGAATCTTTCCTTAGAAAACTAAAAACCTGTCAACATGAGGTGCACATGGTGCGAGCAGGGCCAAAAGATGGGATATCTCCAAGTCACGTTGGAGGAAAGCTCCCACTGTCTCACAGCATGCAGATGTTCCTCCAATACCGGCGAAACCAACTGCAAACCTTACCATAGCGCTGCGACACGTAGTCTCCGGCGGCTCTCTCTCTCTCTCTCTTTCTGGCCGCCCGAGGCACATCATCTCATCGCACAACTTCACAATTGGGGTCCTGGTGATGGAAGTCGAATCTTCCAACTCGCAAAAGACGAGAGATCGAAGCAAACCGAACACGGTGTTTTTTCCACAGCAAAAGGGAAAGGATTCTCTATGACACGACAATAGTATGGCAAGTCTCCTTCGATATTTTTCAGGCAACTTTTCGTTGATGTCCATAATGAAGGATTCCAAACCATGCTTCTCGATCAAGCCGACCTCATCACATGCCCCGGTCGTTTTTCCCCAACACACCGTGTGCCCGGGTGAGAACCCACCCCTGCCGTGCACTGCCGCGCACCGTCTTGACACGAAGACCCTGCACTCGGCAGATGCCGAAATTGAAGAGGAATCGGTGCACCAAGCGCGGCAGAACAAAGTACCTTAGGCATCAGCATATTGCGGAACTGCTGGAGGTTTGAGACTTTGAGGAACAATGGAATGATATGGAATGGGTGGAAGAAGAAGAAAAAAAATATTCCAACATTGGCTTGGTGGCACTGCCATATCTCGCCAGCCTTTCAGAATCTCTGCATCTTCCTTTGAAAACCAAATCCCGAACATCATGTAGAAAACGCATTTGCTGACCTTACAAACTCAAGATGCAATGATTCGAGCAAGTCCACAGCAGGAATATATGGTCCGAGTCCAAATAGTTGCAAACATGGGCACACGTCTGGAGATCTTTTTTGCTAAAGGAACAAAAGTACGCGCATTGCTCGGGTCATGAGTGAGCAGCTCTCTCAAGAGTAGCAAACGGATCAAAGGAGAAAAAAGGAGAAAATGCGCAAATGTGAATGTGCCTCCCGTTGCTTGCCATGCGGGAAGGAATTTATATATATGTCACTTCACTCAGTCATGCATTGAAGCAGCCTTCCTTTTCAGGGTTGCGCGAGTCACGACAGTGCATGAACCTGCCTCTACCCACTGCTGTTCAGCGGGTAGCTAAGAACAGACCATGGCCGCTCGAGATACCCCACTGAGAACAATGGAGTTCTTTTCCATGGCCTCTCTATACCTTCCCCCTTGCTGATAAGTTTGGTGGTGAATAGGGGTGGTGGTGGGCCCGAGAATGGAGCGTCTCGAGCCGCCACTTATCAGCGTTACGTGACACACTGTGATCTACGATCAACCACAGTCATGCATTGAAGCAGCCTTCCTTTTCAGGGTTGCGCGAGTCACGACAGTGCATGAACCTGCCTCTACCCAATGCTGTTCAGCGGGTAGCTAAGAACAGGCCATGGCCGCTCGAGATACCCCACTGAGAACAATGGAGTTCTTTTCCATGGCCTCTCTATACCTTCCCCCCACTTTAGTGTATAGTGAGGCCCGCACCGCCCCAACTCAAACATCTAGGACAACGACCGTGGAGGGAACAAACGACGCGCGATCGATTTGACCCCCTGCCTTCTTCACCAAGGATCTTGCCAGCGCATCTGCCCCTTCTTACTCTTCACCTTCTCCTTCTCCTCTTTCAGACTGGCCAGCTTCGCTTCCTTGGGTGTCTTGCGCAAGCGCAGCTCACGATCGAGTTCGCCAGCCTTCGTCAGCAGGCGGTTCATCACAACGAACTCCAGCTCCTCGAACTGCACGACAATCCTGCTTCTTTCGTCGAAGTCCTCGAAGCGTTCGTTGGTCAGGTCATCCGCCTCTTGATTCTGCCAACGAGGCACCCACTGAAGGTCGAGATCCACTCCATGACGATCCAGTTGGGTTGCTAGCTCCATCGCAATGATGCTGAGCGGGTACTTGCTACTGCCGAACTTCTTCAGGACATGGGCGTATCCCAGATTGTCTGTCAGGGCTGTCAAAGTGGCTGCTGCTTCTCCAGATGCCCAGGCCGCCCCAGGCGCAAGGATCATGACAGCTGCAAGCACTCCCACCAGCTCCAAGCTCGCAATCGATCTGAAAGGATCCCCTTTCAAATACGCCCACGGCGCGTTCTTCCGGTTCAGCCTGATGGAGAACCACCTCGCAGCTTTCTGCTCCAGCCGCCCCCAAGTTTCCCAGCCTCCAATGACAATCTCCTCTCCCGCAGCCTTAGCGTCCACTCGGAAAATGTCAACCGGGGCCGACCTGAGCGGCTCCAGTGGTCTAGTCGGCTTCCGAGACACCTCCTCCTTGATGTACTCCAGAAGTATGACCACTGCGTCAGGAAAGCTGGCGAACGTTCCACCTGCCAGTGCAGAGGACCAGGCAAACAGCGGCGCCAAGAAGGGTCTCACGTGACGAAGTGCCCCCGCCACGAAAGATAACCTGCCCAGCACAGATTTCAGCTCTCTGCCAACTACACCTCCTTGGCGAAGCCTGTCATCAATCCACTTCACGATCCAAGCCTTCTTGGAGTCATTGATACCACGTTCGAACTTCGTGATATCCAAGTGGTAGCCTATCCAGTCCACCTCTGCACCTCCACGCACCTTCTTCCACGTGATGGGAACCTCCAAGAGCTCATACAGGAAGAACCACATCAGAACCTTCTTCCAAAACCTCTTACCTGTCGCAGCCAACCAGCCGTCGTCAGCGTAAATGAGGTGCAAGAGGCCCATGTGCCTGCCCATGATCCTGTGACAGGATCTCACCACCACTCCCATAGCCCTGCCGAACCAATAGGCGGCACTGGCAATTCCGAAGGTGCCCCTCGTGTGAACGAAGACGTCCTTAGAGGGATCGCCCGGCAACCTGAAAGTGTGCAGCCCCCAGTCCTCCTCCGCCACCGGGATAAGTTTGTGCGCACTGGCAATGTCATACAAGACGGAGAACCTCACCGCTTCTCCACTCTCTGACCTCTCCGTCTCCACCTGACGAAGGACGGCAGCTGCATCATCGATCAGGGGGAACCGCATACGGTCTCGAACACGAATGCGTCGATTGACGTCCACACTGTAGGCGCCGTCGCGTATTAGGCGGACCCTTGTCGTTCCCAGCTCTTTGGGAACAGCCCCCAAAGCCGCCACGGCCAGCCTCCCCCCGAACCTTCTGCGGGCTTCCTCCTCCAACATCCTAACCTTCTCGACCTCCTCCGAACCTGTCTGGCGATGGCCGAGATGTAGTTCTCAGAGAGGGTGTCTTGGAAGTCTTCGTCGGTGGGATCGACGGTCCACTTCAGCTTCTCCTCGGCCTTTCTTCGTCCACACCAAGCTTGACTCCCCTCTTGGCGACTTCCCCCAGAAACTGCCAGTCCTCGTCACCCAGCGCCTCTGCAACCGCAGCGACACGACGGAAGTGGATCTCAGTCTGCCTGTCGCCGGCCAATCTCGCGGGCTTCAGGCCCCGCTCTGTTAGCCACAAGTCCAGCCGCTCTCGAAAACCAAAGATCTCCCAAACGGGGTCCCGTCCAGGCGTCCGGCTGCCATCGACCAGAAGATCTTCTTGGCCTTCTCCTCGCCTTCCAGTTCAACCCAATCTTCAAACGCTTTGAGGCACCACCTGGAAAGCTCGCGACCTCGCTCTTCAGCTGGCGCCGTCCTCCTGCCCACCGGCCATCTTCCCGGTGAGCATAGTCCAGCCCCATCGTGAAGCGGTCTGAGATCACCCTTGTATTTTGTCTGCATGGGAGGGCCCACCCCGGGCCTACCCCCACCAATGTTGCTCAATGCACTGCTGTCACAGCTGCCCAATGCTCTGTTGTTCGACTTGCTCGATGCACCGTTGCTCAACTTGCTCAATGCACTGTTGCTCGACTTGCTCAATGCACTGTTGCTCAACCTGCTCAATGCACTGTTGCTCGACTTGCTCAGTGCACTGTTGCTCGACTTGCTCAATGCGCCATCGTTCAACTTGCTCACTGCACTGTTGTTCGACTTGTTCAATGCCCTGTTGTTCGACTTGCTCAATGTTGCACCACCGACCTCTGCATCTGCCTCCATCCTTGTCAACTTCTTCGGTCGAGGCTCCTCCATATCCCGCGTTTCCAGCGCCCTCTTCCGTTGTACCCCCTCTTTAGCTGAAGAGGGTGCGCCCTGGGCCTGTAGATCCTGCCAGATGGCTTGGGCAATGGCACGGTCCATAGGTTCAGGATAGATAGATGTGGCTGTGGTACGGAAGTCAGGATCATCGTGAGCGCGAGCCAGGGAAACTGTTGGGTGACACTGACACAACTTAGTAGCAGGCCCTGCGTAACTGCCATCTGCATGGAATGAGGGCCATTCATTAGGTCCCCAAGACCTCAAAGCTGTCAAATTTGCCAGCAATCGCGTTGGCTTGCGATAGGGCGCAGACCAGCAGCACTGATTGAAGACCACGGTGTAGAGGCCGAGCTTGTTGTCAGCCACTGTGCTCTGGCGCAGTGAGGGGAGTTGCCAGATAGATGCTGGTTGCATCTTCATACCATCCTCCTCCCGCCAGATAGCGCCCAAATCTTCGGGATGTTCGCCGAAGACCAACACCAGGTGCCCTGTGGATGCATAGGGGTGCTGCTCCAGAAGCTCGAGGACTTTGATCATGAAATGAATCAGTGTGTTGCCCAGGAGTGCATCTTTCTGGTGCTTGTTTGACAACCATGGAAACCCCATGGATGATCCTTGGATCGAATCATAGGTGGAACCCTTTTGTTGGCCCCCCCGTACTCTGGACCATGTGGAGCAGGGAGGTGTAATGAGGACCACGTCGTAGTAGCCTGCTTGCAGCTGTGTCAACAACTTCTCCTGCAGCTTAGGATCCGTAAGATCCCAATCGGGTGAATTCTGAATGTCAATCTCGTGCACTTCAAACTCGAAGTCGGATCCTTTTGCCAGTCCTCGCAGAAACTCAGCTATGGGTGCTTTCCTCTGTGCACCGCTGAACAGGTATAGGATCCGACATGTTCGTGTGCTCCTCGTTGCGCCCTGTCCCCCACGAGGAGATGGAGCTTTCTCCTCCCGATCGGCCTTTCAGGCCGCCTTTCCTCCATCGGCCGCAGCCCCGGCCGTGTCCTTCTTGCCTGATGCCTGCCACACTGATAAGGACATCTCTCTCTGGGGTTGTTCCATTTCCAGCAAATCTGTCGACCATCTGGAGTCTTGTCGCGCATCTGCCGACCCTTCTTGCCTTTTCCCTTTCCTCCCCCCTTCTTGCTCTTGCCTTTGCCTTTGGGCTGCTCGTACCTGTCACCATGCCACGGATGCCAGCTCCTGGGAGGACTTCGAGAACGAGCGTACACCCCTTTCGATGATGTGGTGACCGTGACCTGCGAATACACATTGGGGGTGAGGAAGTATCTCTCTTTGACGGTCGTATCTGTCATTGCCTCCTTCAGGGCTTCAACCATAGTGGCGCCCTCGTTGATGAGCTTCACCATTTGACGTCTCACCTGAAAATCGTAAGAGAGGATCAGGTCGAAATCTGGCCTTGCAATGACGTCACCGCCCTTGTTGAGAGCCTTCAAACCCAGAACATGGTCACCAAGCATCAAATCCAAATACTTGAGGAAATGCTGGGGCTGGAGATCACGAAGGCTCGCTTTCTGGGGGTACTTGAGCTGTGCCAGCAAGTACGAATGTGCAACAACTGCCATCCTCTTCCTGAACTCTTCAGGGCTACGGGGTTTCTGGCATTCCCCGTAGCCTTTCTTGATCTTCAAGGTCCCCGTGCTCTTCTCCACCATCGCGCCCAGCACGTCTGCCTCAGCGTCCTCTCTGCTCAGGAACTGCACCAGGCTCATATTCTTCATCTCTCCCTGCTCGACCTGGTCGAAAATCTGCTCCAGCGTCGATGCTGCAGGTGTGTTCCGATCCTCAAGCTTCACTCCATGAAGCTTCTGGAACTTGACCAAGAGCTCCTGTATCTCTACCTTGCGCAGTGCCCTTACGCCTGCCTCTGCCTCCGCTTTGTTCCGCACGGTGATCCTGGTGTTTGCCGACTCCCATGCGTCCACCAGCGATGCGATCTCCACCACATCGCGTGTCTCGTCTTGTCCAAGCGCGTCCACGCAGAACTTCCTCATTCCTGCCCGATCGTCGGCCACCGTGCTCATGCGGCTCATACTTCTGACCTTTGCCACAGACAACTTCGCCTGAAGCACCTCATCCACCTCCTTCACTTGCAACAGCCCACGCAAGTCTGCATCCAGCAGGGCTATCGCATTCTTGCGTCTTTCATCGGCGTCGTGCCCGATGCCCGCCATTTCGGGTCCCAACTAGCACCCGCGCCGGCCCACCTAGTCCGCCGGCGCGCCCACGGCCCTCTCTTCGACTTAGGCCCAAATCCTCCGCACATGCCACCTGTCATGCTCAACAATCCAAAATCAAATGCACCACGACTGCAAGCAAACCAATCCAAACAGTTCACCCTACGACAACACACAGCGTCAAGAAGAACAACATCAAGTCCAATGCGCATCTGCAGACCTCGTACCTTTATGCCTTTACAACCCGCCGTTCGACAATCGACCCGACGTTCGACCGAATTCGGACATGTCAGTCGTGCCTCGCTAGCTAGAGACTATCTTCATTCCACATGTGGCATCCTAGCACTACCGCTCCCATGCCACACCTATAGCCCGTGCGGTTTTCACTCACGAGATGAGCCGTCTGCGCCATCCTTCATCCCGTGCTATCCGATGCTGACTCCGTCATCTCCGACGAAGACACTTCTCCCGAGGAATCATCCTCGAGAGCTGACATCGCCTGCGAATCGGCTTTGCCAAAACACTGCCGGCAAGCCCTATGATACTGCGCCGTACTGGGAGTCTCTTCCCCCAGTACCTCAAAAGTGGCGTAATGTACACCTGGCTGCCTGTGGCATTCGCCCACACGATGGAGGGTTCTGGTCTTTGACCTTCCCACGATCGAAATCACGAATGTACCCGCTACCTTCTCTAGCGGGACAACTTTCGTCGGCTCGTTCTCCTCTTCCGATGCCTCCTCCTTGACTGGGTCAGCCGGCTGCGACTCCGCCGCGACTTCAACCATCTCTTCATTGTCCTCCACAAAGATCACTGGGCCCGTGGTGGTCCACTTCGGCATCCGACAGGCCTTCGCGGCGTCTTCCCCCGGCATGAAGGTCATCAGCCTCATCAGCTGATCATCGATGGCAGACCTCTCATAGCCCATCGCCTCCATCCTCTGCTCGATGAGCTGGACCGCCGTCGTCTCGTCGAATGGGTCTGACTTGGCACCGTTCTCCTTGATGAACAGCGCCAGAACCTTCTGGAAGCGCAGGACGTTCGTCCTCACGTTCCTCTCGTAGCCCTCGTCCGCAGTAGGCCTCCAACGACCAATCATCTTCCTCACGTCTTCTGGCACCCGGGCCGCCTGCGCCCAGGTGCGTATGGTCGCTCTCTCGCTGTGCTCGGACCATAGCATGCCAAGCCCCTGCTCCAGCAATGGTTTGCCTCCCGCCTTCCGGTCAATCGAGATCTCGTTGAACAAGGCTTAGGACATTGCTGAGGCTATCGGGACCATCTTTCTCACAAATCCCGTCCGTGACCAATTCGGCCACGGCAGCATGAAGTCACGCGTCAACAGGCCCGCCTCTATGCTCATGCTGTTCCACAACCGCCAGCCCACCATGAGCCACGATTTCTCGCTCAACCACGCCCCCTTGCTGACGTAGAACGGCAGATAGAGAATTCGTTTTCCCGGCCCTGATGTCTTGGACCGGCTGATCACTCCTCTGAGGCCCCATTCTGTCACCTCCATGGAGCGATTCGTGGTGCCCTTTGCGTCGTCGAATCTCATGCCTGTCCACAGCTTCACCAGCCTAAACCAGGCATAGACCCTGGCATACGGAGTCTCATCCTCATTGCATACATGGATCTCCCAGGCAATGACGACGGACACCGGCAGCAGGAGGGCCTGCTTCCAGGGCTTCAGCTCCACAGTCTGCAACCGAAGGGAGGCCTCCTCCAAGACATTCTTCACGGCCGGGGACCTGCAATTCTGGTCAGCTTCTGGCACTTCTCCAGCATACTCCAAGAACATCAATGCCTTGTAGACCGACTCCGGGAAGCTCCTCGAGCATGGTTCTTCGACCATGGCTTCAATGAACTCTGCGAACTGCTCGGGCGACTGCGGCCAAGGTTTCCCGAACACTGCATCAAGCCACCGTCCAGCCTTGGCCCATGTTTTGATATGTCGTAGCGTGTTGGGACGACGTCCCTTGGCCACCCGGATCATGAGAGATCCCTCACTGGAGCGCAGTGCAACCGGAAGTCTCGCCGCTTTGATCACCTCCTTGATCTCGGCCAACCACCGATCTCGCTCTTCTCGCTCCGCTCGCTCTCTGAGTGCGAGGTCACCTGAAGCGATGTGCAACTTCAGGCTGAGCTTTGTTGGCCACCTCGATCTCTTCGCAGCGCCAACCGCTTCCACATGCCTCTTCACATCCTCGGTCACCGTCTCCTCATAGGCCTTGCGCCGCACTTCACGTTGATGCGACACATGAGCATCGAGAAGCTCTTGTGCCCCTCTTTTCGCATCCCATAGATGCCTCGTCTTAGCTCGCCCCACTGACCTCCTGATCACCTCCTTCAGGAGGTCAGTTCCCAGCACGAAGTTCTCCTCCTTCTGCTGCACCCGCCAGATGACCGCTCGCAGGAGGTCCTCGTCGCAATCCTCCAACGTCGCGAGACGAGTCACGGACCACCCTGCCGTTTCCAGCGCGCTGGTCTGTTGCTGATCTAAGCCAGCTAGACTACAGACCAGTGCCAGGTCATCTGACGGGTCCATGGCGGCGAAGCAATCGCCCCACCACCCGAGAATGGGGCGTCTCGAGCCGCCACTTATCAGCGTTACGTGACACACCGTGATCTACGATCAACCAGTCATATATAGTTGTTTGCGCATAATGTGCATGTATGATACTTATGCACACAAACAACTGACATGATAGTACACACAGAAAAGAACCAACCCATTTCCTATCAACGATGATGCAATCAAGCCACTGTCAAGCGGATCTTATCAATATCGCTGAGATCCTGGGCTTACAGAAGCTCGTGAACCAAAGAGACAAAATGTTTTGAGCTTGGTCCGGCGGGAACTTGAAGCCGCAGGCCAACAAGAGCAGGATGCGAAGCCGAGCGTCGCTGATTTTTGGATTTGGCCAATCGTTTGCGACCAGTGAGCGCAACTTCTTCTGCCGGTCAATGTAGTCTCTGCAACCTCTGCTTTCAACTGGGCCGTGGGAAGCGCACTCAAGCTGAAACACTGGTGGTTGTATCTTTGCCAAATTCGCGGGGCCAGGTCCCTTGTTTCTATTGGGATGTCTTGCCCAACTCAACTCAATGTCAAAGACCTCAAATGCACTTCGTGTCCAATTGTTTATTACCACCTCCACCTCTGCTTGTGTAGTTACCACCTCTACTGTTCACTACTAAAACGTTTGCAAAGCAATTCTGGATACTTTTATGTGGTAGTTTTCTCCTATAAGCACCCACTAGAGAGAGCACGCGCCCAACGGCACAGAACCGTACAAACGCACTTTCCACCAAAGCCTGGCCAAACCGCATGGCACAGCGAAATCAATCGAAATCACCCTTCAACATACGGTTTGTTGGTCTGATGGAAACTTTACACCGGAATGTTTTAAAGATGTACCACAGCTGATTCATGGTGAGGGATCTTGCGACGCTCATTTTATGAAAATAAAATAAAGGATCCTGTAAAGGGAAAAGGAATATGCTAGTATGCTTCGGTTTGAAGGTTTTGATTGTTTTTTTATATTTGTTTACGTCTATGTTATATTGATATGATATGACTTAACATTTGTTTATAATATATACATTCAAAAAGAATAAAAACATCCCAAGCAATTTTTCGGTGTGCAAGCTCTTCCCAGGTTCTCATTATGGTCCCCCTATCCTGAGGACCACCGAAGCTTTTGAACATAGGGGGCTTACGCCCGTGATATAGATATGTTGGAAGTGATTAGCAACAAGTCAGTGATTACCCTCGCCCCAACGCAAACTTCGTCAGTTGTTCCACCAAACAGTCCGGTGATGTCGTCGTCTCTGAGGCACCATGGTCCAACAGGGTTGAGTGCAATGCACTGCGGAGATATGCCCACTCGCTGTCCGGGCCGTTGTTCGACAGGAAAAGGAGGATGTTGGTCGCCTGGAAGAAGAGCCAATGACCCAAAAATCCGAAAAAAGGGCTGGTTGCTACCGGGAAAGTCTCGGGTCACAAGCTTTCATTCGCCAACATGCATCTAGTTTCTGATGGTTGACTGGCAATTGCTTGAAATCAGTACGCGAAAAGTCGCAGAATCACGACAGCGAGGCATCTGGGGCTCGGGCAAACAAATCAGGTACGCATGCCTGTCGCGCCATGAAAAAAACCCTAGGTGCAAAACGATGACAATCTAGCAACGGTGTTGGACCAAATGGTCAGACCGCTTGAAACTCCAATTCTTTGCATGCGAATTGCCTGAATGCAAGCGAAGGAGGAGGAACGGCGCTGATTAGACTTCATGATGTCACTGCACTCCTAGCCAGGATCATCTTGGCCATCTGGGTGATTCCTACTTAGACTCAACCCTCAATACGGGGGTGCGTCAGAAAGGGATCCCCAAAAAACAAAGGTTTTCGTATTGTACTGTCGCTCCATATCACAAATCTGATCAATGCTGACTCATTTATCTAGCGCGAGCATCACAAAAAAGAAAACCAGAAAAGTCCCCAACAGCTGGCTGGGCATGGACCCCCATAGCTCTTGGGGAAATTGTCCTTATAAGTCACAGACCAAAAGCCCTCGCCGTGCCAGAAATGATCGCCATTGCCAAAAGCCTTGCAAATGCATACAAGAAGCAATGCAATGCAGTCTACTTGGAACCCGTGTTCCCTTCATTGCGACCCTTGGCGAAAACAAAGGGAGCCTTCCATTCCCAAATAAAGAGTGCCAGCCGGCTCCTGGCAAACACAGCACGCCATCCGGGAGCAAAACCCCATCGACACGTCGACTGAAACCAGTGCACCACCGACACGTCGGCTCGGATCGGGCAATCGGTCCTGCTTTGGGCAATCAGCGCAGTCAAGCCCCCAATGACCTCGGTGCGGTCGTGCGCACCCTCTTAAAACCTGTTTTCGGTGGGGTCTGCGGTTCTTTTTTTTGGCGCGCGGAGTTTGGGGCGCCAAGTCAAACTGGGCCAAGTCCGACTTCTTTTGGGATGTGTTCGTTTTTTGGGAGCCAAGCCCATCTGTGATCATCTCTTAATCACTTCGACTTCGCCAAGGTCGGAGCATATCTCCACCAGGCGGGAGCCAGAATGCAAGGTCGGCCACACTCGGCGGAACCCATGGATGAACAACATAGCCACTGCCTCAGATGCCACAAAGGTCGTATCACACGATAACCATCGAGCTGCGAGCTCACGTTTTCCGGCCAAATGCAGTCCAGAGCTGCGGGATACACTGACAGCAATAGCAGCCCAGGACGAAGAAGGCCATAAAAAACCTGGCAAAGAATGGCATCAGCCGGATAACGACGGTTCTTTTCGTCTCGCACTGGTGACCGAGGTCTCAACTGGCAAAGACCTCCAATGATGCCCTGAACACAGCTGATCGGCAACGTAAGCCACATGCAAAAGACCTGAAGCCCAGCAAGGCAGGACCAAAAGTCTTGAAAGAAGCCAAAAAGTCCATCCAAGCAAGCAGGACCAATTCAGATCATCTGGGCGTACCGACCTATATAACAGGAAGACCTCCCAGGCGTTCTATTACCCCCTTTAAGATAACCAAACAGACCAGTCCACCCAGCCAGGGGCGATCGGGGGTCTCCCAACTAGAACACACCCATCTGTTGCACCTATGCCACTTGGATCGGTCAATGCTGGGCGATCTCCCAGCTGCCCAAGCTGCCCGATCGACGTCTCGCCCACGAGTCACGCGGTCGAGCTTGAGAGCCAGGTTGCAGAGAGCCACGTCGCATCTCCCGCTACGTTCTGAGGTGGTGCATAGACAACCTACCAAATGCATCCAAATGCACAAGAAACTGCCTGATTGAAGGTTCACGAGCATGCAGCATAAGTTGATCCCCAATCGACTTGCCCAAGAACTGCCACAGTTGGAGGAGCATTCCATTCTCCACTACTACAGTTTCGATTCCGATCCATGCTTCAATCATAGCTTGACGGCTGCATGACAGCTGAATCATAGCTGAATGGGATGATGCAGTGCTTCTTTCCCTGGCCTGGTTGAGTGTATGTCTACCGATGTGCTGAACCCTGAGATGTGCCGCTCACTGCGATTGACTGGAGGTGGCAAGGATGTGAAGCCGAACCCTGAAGATAATTAATGGAAAGCCGTTTAGAAAGGGCAGCTCACAAAGAGAGAGGGAGAGAGGACGGTGACTCTATTTCTTTGCGATCAAAGCAGAAAAATATAAGATAAAAATAAAAATAAAATGGAAGGGAGCATACCCCTACAATGTGTTTGCCAGCAGGAAGTGCAGTCCGTCCATAGCAGTCCGTCCATGTGCTTACAAAACCAAAAGCAGTCGCCTCGTTGATGTCGCCCCACCCAGCAGGGGTCTTCAGTAAGGCTGTGTCCGCCATCATTGGGGCCTCGGTTTCAGCGTTTGGCGGGCGGGGCGGACTTTCAAGGGCACGCGCCGCCGCATCGGTGAAGACGGGGAAGGCCCGGGAGACCAACGGTGCCCTCCGGTGCCATCCACGAACGTCTCATGTCCCAACCACTTGCGAAGCTAAGAAGCTGCTTCGATGATCTCCGATGATGTCGGCCGCTTTGGCCTTCACCAGCTATACGAGTTGTGACCCTCTCTTCTGAGCCAAAGCTATCGATTCGAGACATGGGTGTGCTAAAAAGTCGCTGGCTGCGGCGGGATGCAGGAGGCTGCTTAATTTGGGGCCTCTGTCGAGTACAACCAATTTCACTTATACTACTTATATAAGCGCATTCAAAAAAATCGACACCAATACACAAAATATGGAATTCTCGCCTCAAGAGGTGGGTCTGAGCAGTTAGTTCCTGGTTCAATGCCCCTTCACTTCGCTTGTTTTCCGAGGTCTGAACTTGGATCCACCGAGTGGGCGAAGCCGGCCTCCACGACGAGGGTCTCAGGTCTCCTCACGTTTTCTGGGTACTTTGGTCATAGAAAAAA